TCTTCCTCCTCCTCCTCCTTCTCCTCCTCCTCGTCCTCCTCCATGCTGTTGATCAAACATTAGAAGCTAAGCCTGTTGCGGTTCCTCATCCTCCACCTCTTCCTCCTCCTCCTCCTCCTGGGAGTGGGCGGGGGCGGGGGGCATTGCAATGAGGCTGGCGGAGTATGCTATGGAGCCCACGTGTGGGCCATCCATGAGCGGTGGCGCTCGCAGGCCAGTCGCTGAATTCCCAGTGATGGGTGCCTGTCGGCGCCTTCCGTTGGCACGAGTTCGTGCCTCACCGATGCCAGGGCCTGCGAAGATAGAGAGACAATTAGCGTGAATGGTGTTATTATATTGTCTTGCCTTAGCATGCATTACGTGTTGCTACCTTATCTCATAATACATAAAGCTGTACGATGTTAAAATATAGCATAGCAAATGGTATCATGATTTCCGTTCTTATACTACACTGTCTTATAATATAGCATCTGATCTTATCATATCCCCCTCCTCCTCCTCCTCATCCTCCTCCTCCTCCTCCTCCTCCTCCTCCTCATGCCCCGAGGGGGCCCCTCCCGTAGGGGAGGGGTCGGGACCCCAGGGTCCTCCTGGCGCAGGCGGGGAGCGCCGGGCCCGAGGGGCGAAAATCCCCCGCACCCCGGGGGACGCCGCCAAAGTGCGGTTTCCTTCCCCCGGGGGGGTCGCCAGGCCCCGTGTGCTTCCCCAGGGCGGTGCTGGGTCCCCCCCAGCACTCGCCGCCCTGGGGCGGGGCTGGCGGCTCGTCTTTGTCGTGTCGCTCGTCCGTCTCGTGTCGTTCGTGTCGCGTCGTTCGTTTCGTCCCCCTGTCGTGTCGCGTCGTGTCGTGGTCCCGGGGCCGTATAACGCGGCCACCCATGGAGTGGGTGGTGGGTAGGGTTGGCGCTGAGCACGGCTCGCGCCCCCTACCCCGACCAGGGAGCGCGGAGCACGGTCTCCCAGCGCTCCCTGGTCGCGCTTAGGTCGCGCCACGGGGGCTTGGCCCCGACCGTGGCGCGGCCTGCGCCGTTTTTGGTGCAAATCTCGCTGGCACTCGCCACGCCAGCGAAGTCATGTGGCTGATCATGGGTCGACCCAAAAAAAAAAAATCCTCCTCCTCCTCCTCCTCATCATCATCATCATCATCATCATCATCATCATCATCATCATCATCATCATCATCATCATCATCATCATCATCATCATCATCATCATCATCATCATCAGCATCATCAGCAGCATCAGCATCATCATCATCATCATCATCATCAGCATCAGCATCAGCATCATCATCATCATCATCATCATCATCATCATCATCATCATCATCATCATCATCATCATCATCATCATCATCATCATCATCATCATCATCATCATCATCATCATCACATCATCATCATCATCATCATCATCATCATCATCATCATCATCATCATCATCATCATCATCATCATCATCATCATCATCATCATCATCATCATCATCATCATCATCATCATCATCATCATCATCGCTACCCCGTCCATACCCCAGTCCAGGGGAGGTGAGGGAGGAAGACGAGGAGGGGGGGAGGAGAAAGAGAGGAGGAGGAGGCGGGGGAGAGTGAGGAGGACGACGGAGGCGGAGGAGGACCAGAAAAAGACCAGGATGTGCATCAGCGAAGGATGCAGCGCGCACCTTCACTAGGCGGCACACCCGGAGGGGGAAGTGAGAAGGGGCGGGCCTTCTCAGAAGGCTCGGAAGTGCCCTGGCCTTCTGAAAAGTTTTCGAAGCCTTCCCCGAAGACACCGAAAACATCTCAAAGGCGTGAGGGCTTCTGAGAAGTCCCGCCGCCTTCTGAGAAGGCCTTCTCCCTCTCACTTCCCCCCCTCACCCGCCGCCGACTCACATCCCAAGTCCACTCCTCATACGCCCCTGTAGGCATTTCTCGGTGCTACTTACGGGAAAACCGCACGTGAAAGATGGGCCTGCGGTTTAGGCGAAAGCCCCAGCTTGAGAAGACAGGAAAGAGCCAGCCTCTGTTCCTGGCAGTGACGAAGGCCGAGCGCCGGGATCGTCCGAATGTGAAAGGAACAGCCATGCGTCCGTGTACCTCTTTCACAGCTCCACTTCCGCACACTGACGGTGAGGAGGTCTCCAGCGAGCGAGAACCCACAGTTGAAAAGGATCCGCACTCAATCCGTGTGGCCGTCGCATGTGAGCTACCTAGCCAGATACCCTTGTTGAAACGTAGCCATCCTCCATATGCATGAATGCTGGAGAAATGGTGGAAAAAAATGGCTGTGGCGCCAGCCACATGTTGGAAAGCACTTCACTGTCGCCCCTGGAGCTCCTGGAAGCAATTCAGAATGTGTGCGGCGGCAAAAGGAATACACAATGTAAAAGCGGTCCGCCCTCCATACGTGAAATTGAAATTGTATAACAATGGCCCAGGGACGTACCCAACCCTTTCTAAACATGTGGCGACTAAACCAAGGACCGGTCAGTACAAACGAATATGTTGAAGGAGCCGCAGTGCGCAGGAGCGACCAGAAGTCGGCCTGAAGATGGCCGCAAGATGGCTCAAGAAGGCCCAAGAAGCCCACAAGAGGCCTCCAAGACGGCCCAGGAGACCTCCAAGAGGTCATCCAGGAACGACAATTACGCGGTTCGCAGCCCAACAAGGAGCCGCAAAGTCTCAACTGAATCTATGTGTAGCTCCACTCCGCTGAGCGTCCCAAGAGCCAACGAAAATAGCGACAACGTCGCACTTCACAGCACCCCGGGGAGCCGCGAGGACTCGGCTGGATCCGCGTGTAACTCTACTCCGCTGGACCTCCCAGGAGCCCACGAAAGTAGCGACAATTTCGCACTTCGCGGCCTCCCAGGGAGCCGCGAAGTCTCGGCTGGATCCGCGTACAACTCCACTCCGCTGGACCTCCCCAGAGCCACTGAAAGGAGCGACACCTTCGCACTTCGCAGCCTCCCAGGGAGCCGCGAGGTCTCGGCTGGATCCGCATGTAAATCGATTCCGCTGGACCTCCTAGGAGCCCACGAAAGTAGCGATTTCAAGTACGCACCTCGCAGCCTCCCAGGGAGCCGCGAGGTCTCGGCTGGATCCGCATGTAAATCGATTCCGCTGGACCTCCTAGGAGCCCACGAAAGTAGCGATTTCAAGCACGCACCTCGCAGCCTCACAAGGAGAAGCGAAGTCTCGGCTGGATCCGCATGTAACTCCATTCCGCTGGACCTCATAGGAGCCCACGAAAGTAGCGATTTCAAGTACGCACCTCGCAGCCTCACAAGGAGAAGCGAAGTCTCGGCTGGATCCGCATGTCACTCGATTCCGCTGGACCGCCCAAGAACCAACGAAAATAGCGCATGTTCGCACTTCGCGGTCTCCCGGGGAGCCGCGAAGTCTCGGCTGGATCCGCATGTATCCGCACTCCGCTGGACCTCATAGGAGCCCACGAAAGTAGCGACAACTTCGCACTTCGCAGCCTCCCGGGGAGCCGCGAGGACTCGGCTGGATCCGCGTGTAACTCTACTCCGCTGGACCTCCCAGGAGCCCACGAAAGTAGCGACAATCTCGCACTTCGCGGCCTCCCAGGGAGCCGCGAAGTCTCGGCTGGATCCGTGTACAACTCCACTCCGCTGGAACTTCCAGGAGCCCGCGAAAACTGGCGAAAGGTTCGCACGTCGCAGCCCACAAGGGAGCCGCGAGGTCTCGGCTGGATCCGCGTGTAACTCCACTTCGCTGGACCTCACAGGAGCCCACGAAAGTGGCGCCTAGTTCGCACGTCTCAGCCCCCCGTGGGAGAAGGCGGGAGGCTCGCGAAAGCAGCGCTCTATCCAAAACGAGAACCCAACACAGGAGGGTTGGGAAGGAAGCAGGATGCAGGAGGTAGGAGGCGAAGAGGAGGACGAGGTCCTTGGAGACAACAGTGCTACGCTCAGAACGAGAACCCAGCACAGGAGGGCTGGGAATGATGCAAGATGCAATGCAGGAGACAGAAGGTAGGAGGCAGAAGGAAGGGAGGAGGAGGACACGTGGAGACCAGTGCTCTACTCAAAACGAGAACCCTACCAGAGGAGGGTTGAGAAATAGTGAAGGTAACTGTGCACGGCGCTAAAGTGACAGATCCATTTTCAGATCGAACCCAGCGCGACCCCAATTAGGGGTACTCTTCCAATGCAATTCATTGCAACGCAATGCAATGTAATGCAATACAATGCATGCTTTACTTGGCATTTTCGGTGCATGGCTTGGCATGGCGTGGCGTTGCTTGGCATTGCTTGGCGATGTTTTGCACTGCTTGGCATTGCTTGGCGGATAATGCTTGGCGTTGCTTCCCCTCCGCCTCAGGAGGCCGCCCACACGCCACGGGCCAAGACAGATGGGGTCGAGAGGCTGCGGCGCTCCACAGACACATCGGTGATGCATCGGCGACGCCGGGGCGGAGAAAGAGTCGGAGCCTCGATCGAGCCGCAGCGCTGAGGCACCGGCGATCCCCCGACACCCGTCCACCTCTGGACCCGCTGCAGCGGCCTGGATCCGCCCCACCCTTTCCCTCCCCTTCCTCCCCTCCCCTCCCCTCCCTCCCCCCCGCCTTCCCCCGCCTCCCCCTTCCCGCCTCCCCCCGTCCTCCCTCCCCTCCCTGCCCCTCCCCGCCCCCCTCCCCCTCCTCCTCCCCGAGAGCCCCGCGACGGCCGCGCCAGGGAGCCTCCCCTCCTCCCCTCCCTCCCTCCCCTCGCCCTCGCCCCGCCCCCTCCTCTCCTCCCTCCCCCTCCCCCCCCTCCTCTCCTCCTCTCCTCCTCCTCCTCTCCTCCCCTCTCCCGCCCCCTCCTCTCGCCCCTCTCCTCTCTCCTCCTCCCTCCTCTCCTCCTCTCCTCCCCCCCGCCCCCTCCTCTCCTCCTCTCCTCCCTCCTCCCCCCCCCCGGGGGCCATGCGACGGCCGCGCGGAGGGTGGCCGCGGCCGAGAGAGGGTGGGGGGGTGGGGGGGCCCGTCCCCGCAGCGGTCCTGGTCGGCGGGGCCCACGACGTGGCGCCTGCAGCAGGAAGGGCCGCGGGGGGGGGGGCGTCAGGGGACGCCGCCTACGCAGGACCAGAGCAGACGGGGCCAGGGCATCGCCGACGCATCGGCGATGCATCGGCGACTCTGGGACGGAGAAGAGCGGACTCCACATCGAGCAGCATCGCTGATGCATCGACGAGGTGGGTCGATCCTCCGACACGTCGACTCCGGCCGCTGCTGGAAGTCTTGAGGAGAATAAAACCGAACAGAACGAGTCAGGGGCGCCGCAATCGATTGTCACCGAAAACCGTGCTTACAAGTTGGCGACTGGGTAGCCTTCGTAGAGGCCTCCTAGATGGGGTCGGAGTAGATGTGGTCGGAGGATTGCGCTGCATCGCCGATACGTCGGCGATGCATCGGCAATGCATCGGCGATGCGCCTGCGATGCATCGACGTCACCGATGCATCGGCGACGTCTGTGCGGGGAAACACGGGCTCCATATCGAGCCGCATCGTCGACGCATCGATGCATCGGCGATGCGTCGCGATCCTCCGACCCCATCTACTCGGACCCCATCTAGGAGGCCTAGACTTCGAGGCCGCGTCACTCCGCATCCGCACGTCTTCAGGCCGTGAAGGGAGTGGGGGGGAGGAGGAGGAGGAGGAGGAGGAGGAGGAGAGGACGGAGAGGAGAAAAGGAGGAGGAGGAGGAGGAGGAGGAAGAAGGAGTAGGAGCAGGAGGGGGCAAAAGATGGGGGGAACATGGGGGGGCGGCCGATACACAACTGCGCCGTGCAAGCATCGGTCCGCTCGCATCACCGGGGCATCAAAATCGAATCGGGTCGAGCTGGCCGAAATCGCTACACTTTGCGGGGCTGGGGTACGAAGGGAGATGGAAGGCAATGGGGCGCGGGAGGGCCAGCCTGCATCTTCCTCCATGTTCCTACTCTCCCTCCCCAGCCCTCCCCCTCCTCTTCCACCTCCTCCTCCTCCTCCTCCTCCTCCTCCTCCTCCTCCTCCTCATCATCATCATCATCATCATCATCATCATCATCATCATCATCATCAACAACATCAACATCATCATCATCAGCAGCAGCATCAGCATCATCATCACCATCAGCAGCAGCAACAGAATCAGCAGCAGCATCAGCATCATCATAATCATCAGCATCATCAGCAGCAGCACCATCATCAACATCATAATCATCATCATCATCATCATCATCATCATCATCATCATCATCATCATGATCATCATCATTATCATCACTATCATCATCATCAACAACAGCATCATCAGTATCAGCATCAGCATCAGCATCAGCATCAGCATCAGCATCATCATCATAACCATCATCATCAGAAACAGCATCCTCATCATTGTCATCATCATGATCATCATCATTATCATCAGCATCATCATCAGTATAATCATCATCATTATTATCAGTATCCGTATCAATATCATTAGCATTATCATTATCATCAGCAGCACCATCATCGTCGCCAACATTATCATCATTATCATCAGTATCATCATCGTCTTCAGCTTCGTCATCATCAGCATCAGCATCATCAGCATCATCAGCATCATCAGCATCATCATCATCACCATCATCATCGTCATCATCATCCTCATCATCATCTACATGAGCATCATCATCATCCTCATCCTCCTCCTGCTCCTCGTCATCATCATCACCACCAGCATCATCATAAGCAGCACCAGCAGCAGCATCATCATCATCGCCATCATCAACACCACTATCATCATCAGCATCACAATGATCATCATCATCATCATCATCATCATCATCATCATCATCATCATCGTCAACATCAGCATCAGTATCAGCATCAGCAGCATCATCATCATTATCATCATCATCGTCAGCATCATCGTCATCATCATCGTCGTCGCCATCATCGGGGCCTCAGTCGACCACGACATCTCTCCTCAGGTGCGTTTTGGTGTGAATTTCGAGGCGGGTACAGCCGTGCCGACGATTGCGCCCCAAGATGCCAGGAAAGGCCGAAAAACATCAAAAAACCTCGACCCTCGATCCTCCATCCTCCTCCTCCTCCTCCTCCTCCTCCTCCTCCTCCTCCTCCTCCTCCTCCTCCCCGTCTCACAAGCGTCTACAGCGAAAACAAAACCGAAAACCGACAGAACCGATAGCAAAATCGAAACCCGCTGAAGCCGACGGACCACACACAGTGCAGAAGGACGCAGAAGCGCAGTAACCAACCGAAGCAAACAGATGCAGCTGCCTGAGAAGCAGCCGGGTCGATCGACCCCGAACACCCTTGCGTCACCCTCCACTCTCGGGGCGGACGAAGCAAGGAGGATGGCGGAGGGGGGTATGACGAATCAGTTCACTCAGCTGGTTTTCCTGTCGCCTCCCGGCGCCGGAGGCCCCCCACGTATCGAGGAACGTGCGTAGCGACGGAGCCGAAACTGAATGCATGTAGTGTTAAGTCGGGCCTGCCCCTCTACAGGAGGAATAATTAAAAATAGTTTGCAAAATATGTTCGACTATCTTTCTTTATTTTCATCTTTCGTCCAAAAACCCCTTGTAGGAGGACATGCCCGACCTAAATGTAGTAGATTCCGCGGTACCCGTTCCCGAATCTCCCCTTTTGTCCGTTCTGTCCGACCCGAGTGATCCTCGTCGTCCGCCTTTCGGTCCATAACTCGGGTCTTCGGTGGCCGTTCGGGACGATCTGGGCGACCCCGGAGAGGTTTCGGCGAGGCGCAGCTGCTGGAGAGCATCCCGAAGCTGGAGAACCACCGAGGACCAACGAAACAGTCGAAAGCCTCGAATCTCGACCCCGCTTTCGCCCGCCGCACGTCCCTGCTCCAGTGCGCCGGGGAAGGCGCGTGGCGGGGGGGGGGGCTGCAGCGCCGACCCAAGACCTGCGTGGACTTCCCAGAGGCTGCGCTCATTCTCCGTTGCATTCGGTCGGGCATGTCCTCCTAGAGGAGGATTTTGGGCGAAAAATTAAAGATACCGCATAAATACTCAAAAATGCCCCAAATCGTCCCCAGACTATTTCCCGACCTAGGCTCTGCCTAGAACGGTTCTTACTCGCTTGGCTTAAATGGGCCGGGCAGTGCAAACCGCCCCGGGCGGTTCCCCGTCCCCTGGGAGCCAAGCAAAATCAACAGCAAAGGTAAAAGCAAACGCGCGGTTCCCCCAGTTGCGCTCCCTGGGCGCCAAGCAAAAGCAAAAGCAAAGGCAAAAGCGAAGGCAAAAGCGGAGGCAAAGTAAAAGCATAGCAAAGCATAGCATAGCATGGCATAGCATAGCATACCATACCATAGCATCGCATAGCATAGCATAGCGCAGCATAGCATAGCGCAGCATAGCACAGCATAGCATAGCCTAGCCCAGCCTGGCCTAGCCTAACCCAGCATAGCATTGCGCAGCATAGCATAGCATAGCATAGCAGAGCAGAGCAGAGCAGAGCAGAGCAGAGCAGAGCATTGTATTGCATAGCATAGCATAGCATAGGAGTTCGATGACCGCCTCTTGCAAATCGGCTGCGAGCATATCCCTGCTCAACTGCGACGGCCGATTGTTAACTTGCAGCGTTTCTGCTACAAGATCTGCGAGTTGCGGAAGGGGAACCAGGCACGGCGATCTGTGTACTACTGATTACTCGACACAGTCCCTGCGCGCCAAAAGTGGCTCGGGCGACTCCACGACAGCGGGGAGGTTGTGGCCACACCACTCTGGTGAAACCGCATATTCCAGCGCCGATGATGCCCGCCGAAACAATGCTGAACAGCTTGTTGCACCGATCTGGGAGTTGTTGCTGCTGTACAGTTTCGTAGGAAGGTTCGGTGTAGCAAGTGTTGCACAACCTTGCTCACTGCCAAGTCGTGCGGTGCAGGCCGGATCTGGAGCATTCTCAAGCACACCCAGTGAGCGAATGCAAAAACATGCGTGTGTGTGTGCGCAGGCAAAGCAAAAGCAAAATCAAGCAAAAGCAAAAACAAAAGTAAGCAAAGGCAACAGCAAAAACAAAGGCAAAGGAAGAGCAAAGGCAAGAGCAAAAGCAAAGGCAATGCAAAGCAAAAGCAAAACCAATGCGAAAGTGTAGATGTAGATGTAGGTGTAGGTGTAGATGTGGACGTAGGTGTAGATGTAGATGTAGATGTAGATGTAGGTGTAGCTGTAGGTGTTTACATGTAGATGTAGATGTGAGTCTCGCTGTTGATGTAGATGTAGATGTAGATGCAGGTGTAGATGTAGATGTAGCTGTAGGTGTAGATGTAGACGTAGATGTAGGTCTAGATGTAGATATAGGTGTCGATGTGGATGTAGGTGTAGATATAGATGTAGATGTAAAGAACTCCCCAGTGCCCCGCCCTCATCTCCGTGCCTGCTTGCTTTTGCTGCTGTCTCGGCGACTTGCTGCCTGCGTCTGCTGCTGCTTCACTTACGGCGTGGCGTCGGCGGTTCTGGCGCTACTACTACTACTACTACTATTACTACTACTACTACTACTACTACTACTACTACTACTACTACTACTACTACTACTACTACTACTACTACTACTACTACGACTACTGCTACTATTATTACTACACGACTACTACTACTACTACTACTACTACTACTACTACTACTACTACTACTACTACTACTACTACTACTACTTATTACTACTACTACTTACAACTGGCTTTCTGCTAACTGCTCGACTGCTTACTGCTACTGCCTACTGATACTGCCTACTCTACTGCTACTGTTACACTACTACTACTACTACTACTACTACGTTAAACTACTAACTACTATAAATACTACTACTACTCCTACTACACTGCTACTTGCTACTGCTACACTGGCGACTGCTACTGCTACTGCTACTGCTACGGTACTTCCTACTTACGGTTGTTTCTCCTTACTGCTACTCTGCTACTGCTAACTTCTACTCTGCTGCTCCTCTGCGACTGCTACGCTTCGCTGCTACTGCTACTGCTACTGCTA